GATTTTTGAAGTCACCCAAACATATTTCACATTATTAGGTAGCGCATGGGCGTATGAATAGGCTTGATTAACGGCTTGGTTAAACTCTTGCTCTGAAACTTCTTCTTTTTTGCATTCCACCAAAATGTGCGGCTGCAAGCATTCATCATCGTTATAAACAACAATATCAGCTTCTTTTTTATCTGCCCCCATGGTGACGGTGACAAAGTTTTGAACACGTTTAGCTGGGTAGCCATATTCTAAAATTAAGCGGCAATAAGCTTCAGCTTGCACTTGCTCTTCAGGGTTTGCGTAGTTGCGGCTTTTCTTTTGGTGGATGTATTCAATGCGTTTGTCTTCATCATAAAAGCGAATCAGGCCATTTTTAACGCCGTCTTTAATGTAGCTTGTGGTTAATTCTGCACTCATTGACTACCCTTAAGTTTTATAAAGTGTTACAAAAAATCTACGTTAAATTTTAGTTGCTTGGCGGTTTGCGCTTGCGCACTATCAAGTGTTACAAAAGTTTTTGCATCACACTCTATTGCCACGCTTAAATGCAGTGCATCACCCGCGCGCGTGTTTGTGTGGTGGTGTATGAGCTTGCCAGCTTGGCTGTAGGCCTCGCGGCTTACGGGCATGAGTTTTATGCCGCCATTGATAAGCGTTTCAAATTGCTGCAATATGGCTTTGGTGTGCTTGGTTTGCAACTGCCCAGTACGCACTTTTAAAGCGATTGCGCTATTAAACTCTGTAATAAGCCAGTCACTGCTCATGGGCGTTTGCGCTAAGCCACTAAACCAACTCATGCAGCTTTGAGTTTTTGGCTCATTAGTGAGCATGGCTACAATAACGCTAGTATCAACATACACCATTGCTAATAACGCTCGTTACTACGCATAACATCAATGACAGATGTGGTTTTTGGCTGCTTTTGATTAAGCAAATTAAGGCTTTGCAAAAATGCAGATTTATCAAATGCTTTTGCTGGAGTTAGCACTAATTCGCCCTGGTTGTTTAAATTAAGTTCTACACTATCACCATCGCTAATATGCAGTTGTTTAGTAACAGTTGCAGGCAATCGCACAGCTAAACTATTACCCCATTTTGAAATTAGTAATTGCATGTTGCACCTCTAAAATGTATATCCAAGTATATACAATACTGTGCTACCCCGTCTGTGTCAAGCTTTTTGGCTAAGCACTTTTTCCTTGAAAAGGTATTATTTTTGCGCCTGCTTTTAGTTCGTCTAAGTAATCAGCCCATTGTTGCATCATGGCAACACGTTGCGCTATAAATTTAGTGCGATTATATGCCGCGCCTAGTGCATCAGGTACTTTGTGCGCTAATTGATGTTCAATAATATGCGGGTCTATATTTAAGCGTTCATGCAATATGGTGCGCGCCATTGCCCTAAAGCCATGCCCAGTTATTTGCGTTTTAGTATCGTAACCCATGCGTTTTAACGCAGCATTGATTGCGGCTTCACTCATGGGCTTTTTAGGGTCGTGACCACCTCTAAATACAAACTGGCCATGCCCTGATAACGGATAAATTTCTTTTAATATGCTAATCGCTTGCGTTGATAATGGCACTAGGTGGTCGGTTTGCGTTTTGCTTACTCTATAACGCCACTCACCAGCTTCTAAATCAATATCTGCCCATTTTGCCGTGCGTAGCTCACTAGGCCGTACAAAAACTAACGGGGCTAGCTGTAATGCTGCTTGCACAGTAAACGTCCCCTTAAAACCCTCTATAGCCCTTAATAACTCAGCCACTTCGGCAGGCTCTGTAAATGCTGCCATGTGTTTGGTTACGGTTGCGGGTAATGCACCTTTTAGGTCTGCTGTAACATCTCTTAAAGTGCGCCCTGTTTGCACTGCATATCTAAACACTTGCCCCGCTGATTGAAGTGTTCTATGGGCAGTTTCAAGTTTATTTTGCTTTTGAATGCGCCTAATTGAATCAAGAATTTCAGGGGCGGTAATATCTGCAATCGCCTTTGCACCTAGCCAAGGGAATAAATACACCTCAAAACGCCTTAGCACCCTGCCCCTATGAGATTCAGATTTATCAGCCATGTGCGAATTAACCCATTCTCTAGCAATAATTTCAAAGCTATTTTGATTTTTTTGGTTTATTGCATCTTTAGTCGCTTTTTTATTTGCAGCAGGGTCAACATCTACTGCTAAAAGCTTTCTAGCTTCTAACCTACGCTCACGTGCAAGTGCTAACGAAACTTCAGGATACACCCCTAATGCTAAACGCTTTTCTTTACCATCAAAACGATATTTTAAACGCCAATATTTTGAACCACTAGGCATCACCTCAAGATACATGCCCCCACCATCTGAAAGTTTGTAAGCCTTTGATTCAGCTTTTGATTTTTTTACTGTGCATAAAACAAAAAACCCGCTAACTACAAGTAATTTAGCGGGTTTCATGTATTTCTTGGTACGGGATAAAACACTTAAATGGTGGAGCTGGCGGGAATCGAACCCGCGTCCGCAAATCCTCTACAGACAGTTCTACATACTTAGCCTTGTTGTTTAATTTAATCTGCACCACACCAACAGACAAGCGGTGTACAGACGAGCTACCTAAAGGTTAATTTTACGCTAAGTAACCCAACGTAAAACGTATCCCGTGTATATGACGCTGCGATGGTTTTAAGGCCACCCACCCCACGGGAGAGATGGTGCAGCGTCTAGCAGAACTAAGCTGCTAGAGCGTAAGTTTCGTCGTTTGCGACTATACTTGTTCAGCTGTATTTACGAGGTAATCTGAGCCTCGGTATGCACTGCGCTGCTTTGTAACCCACGTCGAAACCTGGTCAGCCCCAAAACAGTTATTGCTATGACGATAAAACCAATAATTAGTTTCATCGAGTGCGCATTATACGCTTAATTTTGCTGAAAATATCTTGCGTATTTTTATTGCAAAAATGGTGCTTAAAAATTTCTTATTTATTAGGCAATTTTACGCCGAGAGATTTTTATGCCTCTATAAGCCGCATGCAGACTGGCTTGCAGAGGTGGTGAAATGATGTTGTGATAAAAACAGGCCAATTTAAGTGTATTTTTTTATGCTTTGATTGGCCGATTAACCAGCCAATTTCTGCGCACAAAATACCAAAAAACGCCTTTAAATTCCCACAGCGGAATCGATTTCACAAACTCGGCCTGTTGCGCCAGCGCGTTTTCTAATTCTTGCACTACATCGGTTTTGTTTCTTTGCACAGCCAAACCCACTTTTGCATTAAAAAGTGCTTGTGCATCAAGGTGCTTTTGTAGCAACCCATCTAACGAAAGTTGCGGAAAAGCTTGAATGCGGTTTTTGCTGGCGGGCGGCAAAATCAGACCTTCTTTACTTGAGGCAGTGCTAATAATGCCACCGTTAGCTAACTTGCTTACAAAATCGTAAAAATGCTTGTCTTTATAGTAATACAACAACACCCAACTAGCATGTGGCTGACTCCACCAAACACTGCACTGTAAGGCATTACCGTCTAACAAAGTATATGCCAGCAAAAAACCATCGTGTTCAAAATCATGTTTTTTTGCCCAAGTTGCTAATGTGTCAGCTTGCGCAATAAAGCCCGCATCATCAATATGTTGCACACGTTTAATCAGGCCTTGAGGAGTGGTAATTTTTTCAACCGAAGCCACCAAAGTTTTGGTAATAATGTAAACAAAAAATAGCAATATAGCAGACACGATGCAAACAAAAATCAACATTGATTACCCCTTAAAATGATTGCCTAGCAAGCTTTTTGCGGCGCATTTTATTTCATCTTTACATCGCTCAATTTGAACATCATGATTTGCACCAGCATCTTGCGCGTTAAATAAATAATCTTCTATCGCGCTGGCGTTTGATTTGAATGGCCAAAGCGCATCGGGGATGCGCGTATCCAGCTTATCAATGATTTTCTTCCAAATCTGCATTGCGCCATCAAAAGCTTTTATTTCGCCTTTGACAATTTGCTTTGCTATGAATTTGGCTTTTTCTGTAGATTCACTCGGCGTCATCAGCAAACTAATTTAATTTTACGTCGTAGCAATAAATGTCCACGCCACTATTTGGTTGAATCAAAGCAGCGGGAATCTCCTCTCCTTTGCGCCAATTGTCCACGGCTTCTTGCTTACCCGCGCCTGTCACTAAAAATATCGCTGTATGGGTATTATTTAAACGATTTAAACTCATGGTAATGCGCTCTGCGGGCGGCTTGGGTGAGTTAAGCACAGGCACAGCATCGGCGCTGTTATCAATCGCATGACCAGGAAACAAACTAGCAGTGTGGCCATCTTCACCTAGCCCGAAAATAACTAAATCAAAAGCACCTACATTTTCTAAAGTGTTGGCGTATGCTTTTGCGCCTTCTATCGGGCCAAGCTCGGCAGGGATATAATGTATTTGTTGTTTTAAAACAGGCACATGGCTTAGCCAAACTTGCTCAACCATTAAACTATTGCGCTCTTCATGGCCTAACGGCAAACAGCGGTCGTCATTGAGGTAAACATGCCACTTGCTCCAATCGGTTGGCATGTCGCGTAGCAACCTATAAATGGCGCGCGGGGTGCTGCCGCCAGCCAACACGATTGAAAAACTGCCATGCGCGGCGATTGATTCTTCAGCTCGGCGCATAATCACATCGGTGACAATATGTCTTAACGATTCTATGCTATCAAATAGGTTCCAGCGGGTATTTTTAGCGTATGTCATCTTGATAAAAGGTCATAAAAAAAGAAAAATAAAATTGAGGTCGTATTTGACACTATTTGGCTAATTTTGTCATGCATTTTATATTTTTTTGATGTAAACCACTGTATGAAATTATCACCATGCTTTATCATAGAGCCCTTATTACATCACGTATCTATAGGATTCATCAAATGCTCATTAAAGACAGCGAAGTCGTTGACCTGCAAACCCCAACTGGCGAAATGCGCGCGCATATTTTTCGCCCTGCCGCGCCTGGAAAATATCCAGCAATCTTAATGTTTTCTGAAATATTTCAGGTAACCGCACCCATTCGCCGCACCGCTGCCATGCTCGCTGGGCACGGTTTTATTGTGGCTTGCCCAGAAATTTATCATGAATTTGAGCCGCTAGGCACCGTGCTGGCTTATGATGAGGCAGGCACTACGCGAGGTAACGAGCTTAAGATCACAAAGCCAGTTGACGCATATGATTCTGATGCACGGGCCGTATTAGACTACTTAAAATCACGCGCTGACTGCACAGGCCGTTTAGGCGTGATGGGCATTTGCGTAGGTGGCCACCTGGCTTTCCGTGCTGCGATGAACCCTGATGTGTTGGCAACCGTGTGTTTCTATGCCACTGACATCCACAAAAAAGCCTTGGGCTTGGGCAAAAACGATAACTCGCTACTACGCGCTGGCGAAATTAAAGGCGAATTGTTGCACATTTGGGGTCGCCAAGACCCGCACGTACCACTAGAAGGCCGCAATTTGGTAAAAGCACGCTTAGATGAGGTGGGCACCAAATACACTTGGCACGAATTTAACGGCCAACACGCCTTTATGCGCGACGAAGGCCACCGTTACGACCCTGCGCTTTCACGCTTAAGCTGGGATTTACTCTTAGAATTGTTCAATCGCCGTCTAGGCTGGGGTGATTTAGATATGGAAGATACGGGTAAAGCAGAAGCAAACCACTAAACGCTATCCGTTCGTGCTGAGCTTGTCGAAGCATATCTACAAAATGCCCTTCGACAAGCTCAGGGCGAACGGATGAAATTATTTTATAAAATTGAGGTTTAAAATATCATGGCAAAAACAATCGACCCCTGCACCCTCGTGCTTTTTGGCGCAAGTGGCAATTTATCTCGTATTAAGTTAATCCCTGGTTTATATCGCTTAGATGCGGCTGGACGATTACCACCCGAAATGAAAATTTTGTCGGTCGGTCGTGGCAAAGTTGAGTTTGACGCTTGGCGTGCCGACATTAAAAGCATGTTAGATGCCAAATTTAAAAGTGGCTATGACCAAAAAATATTTGAGCGTTTTATTGCCCGTAATCATTATTTTGCCAACTCAGCGGATGATCCTGATGCTTACAAAAGAATGGCTGAAACTTTGGGTGATACAAAAACGTTCCCACAAAACTTGGCTTACTTTTTATCGGTGCGTCCGACTGACTTTGCGCCTGTTGTTGAGCAATTATCTGGCGTGGGCTTGGTTGATGAAAGCAAATATTGGCGCCGCGTGTTGATTGAAAAACCTTTTGGTACAGATTTAGCATCAGCACAAGATTTGCAAGCGCGTTTAACCCGCCACCTTAAAGAGAGCCAAATTTACCGTATTGACCACTACTTAGGCAAAACCGCCGTGCAAGGCATTATGCTCACTCGCTTTGCAAATGCAATTTTTGAGCCCCTTTGGAATAAAGACCATATCGACCACGTGCAAATTACCAATAATGAAATTTTGGGCGTGGGCGACCGCACGACGTTTTATGATGCTACAGGCGCGTTAAGAGATATGTTCCAAAGCCATTTGTTGCAAACTTTGGCTTTAACTGCAATGGAAAAACCAAAAGATTTAACACCAGATAGCATTCGCGCAGAAAAAATTAAACTATTACAAGCCATTCGCCCGATTGATGCAAAAAACCTAAATAAACAAGCTTTCCGTGCGCAATATGCCGCTGGTCGGGTGTGTGTGGGCGATGGTCATGGTGAAAACGTAGCTGGCTATTTAGATGAACTCAAACGCGATGGCATTGAAAGCAGTCATACCGAAACCTACGCTGCGGTTAAATTGTGGATTGATAACGAACGCTGGAAAGGTGTGCCATTTTACGTGCGCACTGCAAAACGTATGCACGAAGGCAATGTGGCAATTTCAGTCAAGTTTAAAAAATCACCCATGCAACTAAATGACAGTCAACACCAAAACTGGCTAGTTATCAGCATTCAGCCAAAAGAAACCGTTAAACTTGAAATAGAATCAAAAATCCCGGGCTTGGATATTGCCACACGCACATTAAGCATTGATGCGCCTACCCGCCAACAAGGTGATGAAAGCATTGATTCTTACGAAACTTTAATGCTTAACTTGATGGAAGGCGACCCATCACAATATCTACACATTAGCGAGGTTGAAGCGCAATGGAAACTCGTTGACCCAATTGTTAAAACTTGGGCGGCCGACAAAACTCCGTTGCTTCAATACCGTGCAGGCGACCGCGACCCTAAAGAATCTGGCGTAATTTTTGAAACCGAAGACCAATTTTGGCGTTATAGTATTGAATTGGGTGGCGATAAGCACTAAGAAGGCCAAAAAAATCCCACAAAAATTCCACGCACTTTATAATGCCCAACTCGACGTTGGGCATTGTTTTTTAGGCAAATAACATGAGCATAAAATCAGATAAATGGATTCGTAAAATGGCGCAAGAGCACGGCATGATAGAGCCGTTTGAGCCCAAGCAAGTTAAAATGAACGCCGCAGGTGAGCGCATGGTGTCCTACGGCACATCAAGCTATGGTTACGATATTCGTTGCTCAAAAGAATTTAAGTTGTTTACCAACCTCAACAGCACGATTGTTGACCCAAAAAATTTCGACCCTAATTCGTTTGTTGAAGTGAATGCAGATTACTGCATTATTCCACCAAATTCATTTGCGCTCGCTCGTACCGTTGAGTATTTCCGCATTCCACGCAACGTGCTCACCGTTTGCTTGGGTAAATCCACCTATGCGCGTTGCGGCATTATCGTGAATGTCACCCCTTTTGAACCAGAATGGGAAGGCTATGTCACACTAGAGTTCAGCAACACGACACCTTTACCAGCCAAAATCTACGCCAATGAAGGTTGTGCGCAAGTACTGTTTTTTGAGGCCGATGCCGATGATGTATGCGAAACCAGCTACAAAGATCGTGGTGGTAAGTATCAAGGCCAAGTCGGTGTGACTTTGCCTAAAATTTAATTTTAGGAAATTTATTTAATGAAATTCCGTTTCCCTGTCGTCATTATTGACGAAGATTTCCGCTCTGAAAACTCATCAGGTTTAGGCATTCGCGTGCTGGCAAAAGCCATAGAAGAAGAAGGTATTGAGGTATTAGGCGTCACCAGCTATGGCGACCTCACTTCTTTTGCGCAACAACAAAGTCGCGCTTCAGCGTTTATATTGTCTATTGACGACGAAGAAATTGTAGAAGAAAAACCTGAAGCGATTGAGCAGTTGCGTAAGTTTGTGACTGAAATTCGCTATCGTAATGAAGAGATTCCCATCTTTTTGCACGGTGAAACTCGCACTTCACGCCATATTCCTAATGACGTATTGCGCGAACTACATGGCTTTATTCACATGAATGAAGACACGCCTGAATTTGTAGCCCGCTTGATTATTCGTGAAGCGCGCGCTTATTTAGACAGCTTGCCACCTCCGTTTTTTAAAGCGCTCACGCATTATGCAGCAGATGGCTCATACTCTTGGCATTGCCCTGGGCACTCAGGTGGCGTAGCATTTTTAAAATCACCAGTTGGGCAAATGTTTCATCAGTTTTTTGGTGAAAATATGTTGCGTGCCGACGTATGTAATGCGGTGGAAGAGCTCGGCCAATTGCTAGATCACACAGGCCCGGTCGCAGCTTCTGAGCGCAATGCCGCGCGCATTTATAACTGTGACCACTTATACTTTGTGACTAACGGCACGTCAACTTCTAATAAAATGGTGTGGAATAGCACCGTTGCACCAGGTGACGTGGTGGTGGTTGACCGTAACTGTCATAAATCTGTCTTGCATTCTATTATTATGACGGGCGCAATTCCGGTATTTTTGATGCCGACGCGCAACCATTTTGGCATTATCGGGCCGATTCCGAAAAGTGAATTTGAGTGGGAAAACATTCAAAAGAAAATTGACCGCAACCCATTTATTACTGATAAAACCTCCAAACCGCGTGTGCTGACCATTACGCAATCCACCTACGATGGTGTGTTGTATAACGTGGAAGAAATTAAGGACATGTTAGACGGCAAAATTGACACCTTGCACTTTGATGAAGCTTGGCTACCACACGCCACATTCCACGATTTTTATGGAGATTATCACGCCATTGGCGAAGGTCGCCCGCGCTGTAAAGACAGCATGGTATTTTCAACACAATCTACTCACAAATTGCTCGCGGGCTTAAGCCAAGCCAGCCAAATTTTGGTGCAAGATGCCGAAAACGTGAAGCTTGACCGCGATATTTTCAATGAAGCCTACTTAATGCATACCTCAACCAGCCCACAATATTCTATTGTGGCGAGCATTGACGTGGCCGCCGCCATGATGGAAGCCCCAGGTGGCACAGCATTGGTGGAAGAAAGCTTGATGGAAGCCTTAGATTTCCGCCGCGCCATGCGCAAAGTGGATGAGGAATGGGGCGCAGACTGGTGGTTTAAGGTGTGGGGGCCTGATGATTTAAGTGAAGAAGGTTTAGAACACCGCAACGCTTGGATGCTGCACGCCAAAGACAAATGGCACGGCTTTGGCAAACTTGCCGAAGGTTTTAATATGCTAGACCCAATTAAAGCCACTATCATTACCCCAGGCTTAGATATTCACGGTGATTTTTCTGAGCAATTTGGTATTCCTGCCGCTATTGTGACCAAATATTTGGCTGAACATGGCGTAATTGTAGAAAAAACTGGCTTGTATTCATTCTTTATCATGTTCACTATCGGCATCACCAAAGGCCGTTGGAACACCATGGTAGCCGCTTTGCAGCAATTTAAAGATGATTACGACAAAAACCAACCACTATGGAAAGTGTTGCCAGAATTCAGCCAAAAACATCCAAGATACGAAAAAACTGGCTTGCGTGATTTATGCAATCAAATTCACGCCGTGTATAAAGCTAATGATGTGGCGCGCCTCACTACTGAAATGTATTTATCTGACATGGTACCCGCCATGAAACCCACTGACGCCTTTGCTAAAATGGCGCACCGTAAAATGGATCGCGTGCCGATTGATGAGTTGGAAGGCCGCACCACTGCTGTGTTGCTCACGCCCTACCCGCCTGGCATTCCGTTATTGATTCCTGGAGAGCAATTTAACAAGGTGATTGTCAATTACCTAAAATTCGCTCGCGAATTTAATGAAAAATTCCCTGGGTTTGAAACCGATAACCACGGTTTGGTGAAAGAAATGGTAGATGGTAAAGCGGTGTATTATGTGGACTGTGTAGCGCAATAAAAGTGACTATATATTCAGTAAATCATTTCACATGCGCTGTAAGCCAGCATCCATGAGGCTTACAGAGGCATGAAATTTTCTCGGCATGATTTCAGCTGTTTTTATATTAATTTTTGCGTGAAAAGTTAGGCTGATTTTCGCGCGTAAATTAAATCACTATAGTGCAAACCGCTTACTGAAACATGTTCGGTTTTTTCTAGTAACTGCCACTGCGAAAAATCAATTTCAGGAAAGAATGCATCGCCTTTAACATCTAGCTGTACTTGCGTCATATAGAGCTTGGTCGCCAGCGCTAAACCATGTTGATACAACTCGGCACCGCCAATCAAAAACGGTTCAACGTCATTTTTGCATAGTTTGATAGCCGCTTGTAATGAGCCAGCCACTAATGCGCCTTCCACTTTGTAATTAGGGTTACGCGTCACAATCACCGTGGTGCGACCCGGCAATAAGCGCCCAAGTGACTCGTAAGTTTTGCGCCCCATAATAATATGATGCCCCATCGTTAACGCTTTAAAACGTTTTAAATCTTCAGGCAAATGCCAAGGCAGCGTATTATTAATGCCAATCACGCGATGATGGGCACAGGCAACAATAAGTGAAAGTGGTGTCATATTCGTATTATACTGGCGAAACTTAGCGTTAAATTCATTCTCAAGTGCAAATTTCTTACCCAAAATCATTTTTAAAATTACTACTCATCGGCTTTGCACTGGTGATGCTACCTTTGATTGCTGCTTTTATTAACGCCAATTTTCAGTTTAACAAACTCACCAAGCAAAGTTTGTTTAATATGTCGCAAGCGGTAGAAAGCACCCGTGAGAGCCAAATATTGCTTGAAGAACTCGCCATCATGGAGCGCAGTGCACGACAATATTTTGTACTGCATGATCAACTGTTATTAACCAACTTTAACAAAGCTCACGAACGGCTAAAAGATGCGCTCAAAACGCTCGCGCAACAACCTATAACCAAGCCACAACAGGCGCTACTTATTGCCTTTACGCATCAAGAAACCATCCTATTTAGCACAGTAAGTAGCGCAAATAGCTTAACTACATTTGATGAAGCGATGGCTCAATCTTTTAGCACGCTTAGCAGCCAAGCCAACGATATTGTGGCGAAAAATAACCAATTGATTGATAAAGAAGCTGCGCTTTTTAAAGCACAGGTTTCGCAAGTCAAAAAATCGCTTTTTTGGCAAATGCTGACTATTTTCCCCTTTGTGCTCATCATCGCCGGCTTAATTACTTGGATGATTGTGCGCCCAATTAGACGCATGGATGCCGCCATTAATCAACTTGGAAAAGGTGATTATGAACATGTGATTGAAATTAACGGCCCTGGAGATTTACGCCAACTCGGCTTGCGGCTAGATTGGTTACGCGTGGCTTTAAAAGATTTACAGCTACAAAAACAACGTTTTTTGCAGCAGGCTTCGCACGAACTTAAAACGCCACTCACAGCCATACGAGAAGCAAGTGAGTTGCTTAACGATGGTGTGGCAGGCGCATTAAATTCACAACAAAATAAAATTGTGACCATACTGCGAGACAATAGCTTGCGCCTGCAAAAGATGATTGAAAACTTGCTTAAATATACCGAAATTCAATTTAACGCAACGCATATTAGCCCCTCACAGCTAGTACTGCATGAAATGATAGGCAAAATATTACAAACTTATGCACTCACCATTGCGCATAAGAGAATTATCGTTAAAACGCAAATTGAGCCCATTAATATGCTGGTGGACAATGAAAAATTGCACACCATTTTGGATAATTTAATCTCAAATGCGGTGAAATACACCCCAGAAAATGGTGAAATCATGGTGCAGGCGAGCATCACAAAATCTATTATCACCAAACCGATGGTCACCATTGAAGTGAAAGACAATGGCCCAGGTATTAGCGATGCGATACAAAATGGTTTATTTACGCCTTTTTATCACGGCGAGCAAGCGCAAAGTAGCTTAGTAGGTAGTAGTGGTTTGGGCTTATTTATTGCTAAAGAGGCTGCAGAAGCGCTCAATGGTGAGTTGAGTTTAGCTGAAAATAAAAAGTTTGCTGCCATTATGGATGA